CCTCCGGGAGGCTCCACATTGTCTCACTGTTCAGTCCCCAAAACTTCTTCTTCCATCAATAGTTCATTAACGGTGTATGTAAGTTCCACCATGTTTTTCACTACAACGGTACAGCAAAGTATGTTTTTTTAGCATTAAACTGTTATTTTTTTATTGTCTAATCATCACTACATATAACACCACCCATCATCACTATATATAACATCATCCATCATCACTACATATAACACCATCCATCATCACTACATATAACACCATCCATCATCAATACATATAACACCACCCATCATCACTACATATAACAATATTCATCATCACTACATATAACACCATCCATCATTACTACAGATCGATAAAGTAGTTTCCGAGATTCTCGTGCAGACACACACGGTAGGACGCCACCCTCCGGGAAGCTCCACGTTGTCTCACTGTTCACTCCCCAGACCTTCTTCTTCCATCAATATTTCATGAACGGTGTATGTAAGTTCCACTACAACGGTACAGCAATGTATATTTTTTTAGCATTAAACTGTTATTATTTTATTGTCTAATCATCACTACATATAACACCATCCATCATCACTATATATAACACCATCCATCATCACTACATAAAACACCATCCATCATCACTACATATAACACCATCCATCATCACTACATATAACACCATCCATCATCACTACATATAACACCATCCATCATCACTACATAAAACACCATCCATCATCACTACATATAACACCATCCATCATCACTACATATAACACCATCCATCATCACTACATATAACACCATCCATCATCACATACACATAACACCATCCATCATCACTACATATAACACCATCCATCATCACTACATATAACACCATCCATCATCACTACATATAACACCATCCATCATCACTACATATAACACCATCCATCATCACATCCATCATCACTACATAACACCATCCATCATCACTACATATAACACCATCCATCATCACTACATATAACACCATCCATCATCACTACATATAACACCATCCATCATCACTACATATCATCATCATCACTACATATAACACCATCCACATATAACACCATCCATCATCACTACATATAACACCACCCATCATCACTACATAAAACACCATCCATCATCACTACATATAACACCATCCATCATCACTACATATAACACCATCCATCATCACTACATATAACACCACCCATCATCACTACATATCAGTAAAGTAGTTTCCGAGAGTCTCGTGTGGACACACACACACACACACAAACACACAGACATACTTCTTTGTTTTATATATATAGATATACATACTTTGCAGTAGAGTTGATATATATATATGAATACGATAAGGGAGGGAAGCAGTACAACATGGGTTGTATTAAGGTGGAACAAGAGGACAGAGCTGTCAGTACCACATCAAGTTTGCAAATATATTTATTGCAATGGTAATTTATATCTATCCACATATTTCTACATGATAATTTCTGATAGAACGGTTTTGGTGGTACAGTAAAAGTAGGACTATAAAGTACGTATTACAAAACCTATTAATACTTAGACAATAGGTATTTTTTTAAGAGATGATTTAAAGGAAGGGAAGCCTAAGGTTGGGTGTTCCTCTTCTGAATAGAATTGATGATATTCCAAGTTTTCTTACTGTTGTCCGATGCTGACTGGCATTTCTAACTGCCTGAGGTACTCTATTTCTGACACTTAGGTAGGCATCACCAGAGGTTATGGGTATTTTTGCAAATTTCTTTTGGAATCTGTGTTTTTCGTTTATCAATGCCGTGATTTCACTCGTAATATAGGGTTTGGAGATTGATACAGTTTTCACTGACTTAGTCTTGAGCAGGAAGCATTTATCAAAGCAAGCATTGAAGATGCAAGAGAATTTGCAGCAGCTCACATTAGGGTTGTCGGAGGCATAGACAATATCCCATTTAGCATTCATTAAGCTGTTTTCAAAAAGGAGCATGTTGTCGGTGCAGTAGTTTCTGTATTTCATAGGGACTCTACTAAACCTTTCAGATCTTGTGACTGATTTATACATGGAAAAACTGGGAAGTGATCTGAGATATTGTTATAAATAATTCCATTTGTAAGATTGTTAGGAGTACTGTTAGTCCAGATATGATTTATCACAGTGGTAGAGGTGGCAGTTACTCTAGTGGGTTTGGTTATAGTGTTGAAGAAGAGCTTAGAATGACAGGTAGCAAGAAGGTCTAATACTGAGGTGTCGGTTTCTGATTTGAATTGTTCGAGGTTGAAATCTGTAACGTAGCAAAGATTCCTCTCTGAAATTATGATAGAGATAAGCTCCGAGAATTTATCAAGAAAGTTTCTTACATTAGTGTGAGGTTTTCTGTAGGTTACTCCTACTAGGATATTTCGTGTGTCGTTACGTAATTCAGTGAAAACATTCTCCATGAAATCTTCCTGTACCTTCAAATCATCTCATACAGAAGTGTTATACTTATTATCAACACGATAAAGCGACACGGCACGTGTTGACGCAGTGTCTAGTATAATTAGGGAAGTTATACAAATGTTCAATATCGTTAGTGAGTTTGGTCTCGCAGAACCCAAGCACATCAAATTTGTGGGCAATAGAAGATATACACTGATCTAAAAAGGTATCTAAGTGAAGGGGAATACTGCTGATGCTATGGCTAATTAAGCAGAAGGAATTAGGCAGTAGAAGGCTAGAATTAAACTCAGGAGAGTCAGGAAAGTAATAGTTACAGTTGGGGTTGGTGAAACCCAGTGAGTTTTGTAGAAAGGCATCAGGGTCAATAAGAGGGAGTATTGTGTCGACCCCATGGGTGAAGGGGGTGTAACACATACGGTCCTGTACATCTAATTATAAGGGAACGACACTAGCATCCTCAGTGTGGGAATATTGGTACTGATTAAGGAACAGGAAAAACTCAGTCACTGGGGTGTGGAAAAGGACGGTCAAAGAAAGTTATAATAGTGGGGGGGGGGCAACGTGCTCAAGTGCTACAACAGAATTAGATGACTGGTACTGTTGAGGGTGATTCCCAGTTTGAGTGGGAGGTGCGCCTGTCACTTGGTTTGAAGGTTGCTGGTTTCCCACCGCAGAGGGTGGACGTGTAGTACTCGAGTTGGCCGGCAGGGGGGAAACTCCACCGGTGATGACCAGGACAGTGGCTGGTTCCCTCTCAGTGGGGAGGGGGTTCTCGAGGGCTTGGGAGGCTGGTAGAGCGAGTGGGTGAGTGGGCTGGTACAGAGGATGGGTGGGTGTCCATTTCCCCGAAAGTCCCTCACAATAAGGCTTTTTTTTACTGAACGTCACGTGTTTATATTTATATATCTGTATATGTATGAGCCAGGGTTTCTCCCTTTTCAGACTATGGGGTTTTTCTATGTTTTTGCTACATACCGCAAGGTCCATTGTGCTTGGGACGAGATGGTGAGCTAGCCAGGGAGCGATCAGATTTCATCATCCACCAAAATTCAAGGATGTGGTTTTTGTCCCTAAGTCTTGTGTGGGGCCACCTGAGTTGCTAGATCGTCATTTTGTGTTCTGCCATTTGTTGTTGCTTGTGCACTAATGTTAGACTATTTATTTTTGCTCATAGTTATTTACCTATTGTACTCCCATAAATAGTCCTACCTTCCTCCATTAAAATCCTTGCCTGAACCTTGGGTAGTACAATAAGGAAGCTTGTAAATTAATTAACGTTCATCTAGCATTCACAGATGGACAGAGCCTACTGAGCAGCCTGGGTGAGGGCCCAGGAGGTTCCTTCTCTGTCTTGTTCCAGCTTCTGGCATTAGCAGATGTCTGTCTCTTCCCCTCTCTCTTCTTTCTGAGCCACTATGTGGTTAAACTTTGTTGTACCTTCCTTGGGAATGTTAGGCGGGAGTCAGTGGTGCTGATGCTGACTTCTCATTTAGGTAGGAAATACATTTATATAATGTCTTCTACCTTTTATTTGTAAATATATGTAAAAAAGGTAGATTTACCTAGGTGTTTCTGTTGGTCATTTTTGCCCAGGATATTATTCTTCAGCCATGACTGAGTGTTTGGAACAGCTAAAGAGTATTTCATGAAGTCTACCTTACTTAAAGCTATCCATAGCAGTATATCACTGTTGTGCAGCTCTGTATCTTTTCGGGCAAGCATGGGCGAGACACTGGGTTGTGATACAGGGGTTGATTGGGGTTGGAGCAGGTGGTAACAACTGTAAATGACTCGAGATGTATGTAGTGATAGGCATTATGCACAAGCACACGGATAGCGCTGTATGGTGGATTACTTAGGTGCCGATTTGTTCTAAGTGACATGTCTTGTGTTCAAAGGCAGTGAGAGTTTCGATTTGCCAATATACACTGCATGACAGCAGTGACACTGGTATTTATCGACTACAGATGCTTGTAAGTCCCTAGGAATAACATCTTTGAACCTAAAGAAAGTACCAATACTGCGATTGGGCCTAAATATGACTCTATCTGTAACCTTGGATAAAAGTCAATCAGTAATTTTCATTTTTAATGAAAATTCTCTTGTAACCAGTAAAGGTTATCAAAAAATAAACTACAGCTTTATTAACAATACGTAATGTTCTTTGGGGTACCTCAGTTTAGTTATCCGTTTAGCAAGGTGTGCGTCCAAATACCTGTCACTAAATCCATTTAGCTACATATAATGTTTCAAAAACTCAAATTGAAAACAGAGTGATGCAAATTTGAGCAGATTTCATAGGTTTGATAACTGAAGTTGTAACAAAGAAGTCGTATGTTGCCCAAATTGTCTTGCCTAACGGACACAGATAGTTTACCTACTTATGAGTTGAATTAAATAAAAACTTAACTTCTACAGTAACATTTCAACAAGATTTTCAGGAACAAAGGAGGGACCCTTGACAAGCCTTAAAGAATCCTTCTCTGTCAAGGTGTGGTGTCCTTAAGATTAACAGGGTAGGAATAATAGAGTTTTGTGTCGTAAACAGGGCACCTTCCTGGTGAGTCAAGCAGTAGCCAAATCGTTGTTGAAGCAAGAAGATCCCCGAGGCGCTGTGGTTAACATAGCGAGCATCAGTGGCAGGGCGGGACTACCCTACGTGTGTCATTACGGTGCCAGCAAGGCTGGCGTGATGGCCCTCACGAAAACATGTGCAACAGAACTGGCTAGGTGAGTAATGTTAACAATGTATATGTTGTATCCATAATGAATTCATATATTACAACCTTAAAACTTAACCTAAGATGTTTTCTCCAGTGAGTATCTATTTTACAAGACTCTCAAATCGTCTAATGGGGCACTCCTCAGCTGAAATAATTTCTCATTTGGAAGCGTAAAGGGTGAGGTCAGGTGCCTCCCCTCAGTCATCACTCCTTTGATATTCCCTGAAACTGAATCGGCTAAACCTGCCAGAGTGTCGCCAGCCGAGATCGAAGTGTCGAGTTTTCTAACAAGCTCCTTTAATTCCCTCGTTTTGTGTTGTGTTTTAACAGACATTGTGATAACTGATCTGCCGTCATTTCGAAATTAATAACTTGTAAACATAATGTTGGGTGATGATCACGGCACACCTCCAGCCCCTCATTGGCGATTTGTAAATGATCCTTGAAAATAAAAATTTTCTGCTGGGGATTAACTTAGTATAAAGCTTTTTTTTTCGCTTATGAGGTAAAGGAATATACTCACATTATTTCAGCTCTGGCACTTTCATTTGTTGATTGAATCTTGTGAAAAACTATTTTTTTTCAAGATGTCTTTCATTTATGAGATTAAAAGCTATAATAAAGTCTTTCCCTCTCTTCATGCTACAACTACTATTTCTTACCCAAGACTATCACACGTCATCCAAGGCGTCTTCAGTTTTTTCGTCACCGTCGACCTTATTGTATAAACCTATATAAAACTCTTCAGCCCTTATAGTGAAATCCTATATCATATTTGTTCCAACTCGCCACATGCCGTTGGCGAGGCGAAGATGTACTGTACACAGTATACAATAGTTTGCAAAAACGGGCATACTCACTTCCGGGACGGCATGACGGCCTAGTAACGATATAGACTTCCGTGCCACACTAAAAATGTGAATTTGCAATGAGAAATACAGTTTTTTTGTTAACCTTAAATATGAAGAATGTATAGGTTAATATCCATTGTTGTTTTCTCAAATAAACTTAACTCTTTTTTTTACAATTCTTCTTAATTCATTCTATTTAAAACACAGCTTCAACATTTATAATATGATAAGTCATTGTTGGTCCTAGTTATTATTACACTCTTTTTTTTCGATGCAGCGAATCTGGGCTAATCACAACGACGGCGAGCAAAAACTCTTATTGGACGAGCCCGACTTAGGTGCTTCTTATAGTTCCGTCTTCTTGTCTGAAAGCTTATTGACCCTTGTTTCTTTTACATGTGGAGAAATTTGAGGATCGCATTATTTTGTTTATTCCAAATCAGTTATTTGACCCGTTAACTTCCCCAAGGTCATCTACAGTTTGTTTAACGATCTCAGCTTAAATTTATTTTCAGACTTACTTAATTCATATATTTATTTCTTCATCAAAATTTTTGTAAGGGAATTCATTAGACCACTTTATTTTTTCTTCTCTGCCACTTTAATAAATTTATTATTTATCATAGAGTTGGATTAAGCATGTTCATTGTAAATCCTCACTTGCTGTATATATAAAGCATTTAATACTGCTTTTTAAACACTGTATAAATCACTACTCAGGAAGGGAATCCGAGTGAACTGTGTTATGCCCGGCCTCATTGAAACTCCTCTGCATGAAGATATTCCGAAGAGAAAAACACAGAAAGTGGTTGACTCCACACCACTTGGCAGAGCTGGAAAACCTGAAGGTGAGCACATAGTAGTGTGAAGACTGTAGACATTATACTGTTGCTGACAGAACACCTAGCAAGGATCAACAAGGTGACAGTGTCACGATAAATGTAACAAAATCTTGGCTTACTAAGTTCATATAGCTAGTTAAAATAATGGCTTCCATAACACCTTTGTGTGCTGAGGAACTAAGTTGAAACCTGGAATTTAAAGATATACTAAACAAAATAGTCATTCATGTAAACAATTATGAAGGTACGTTTCATGTTTAAGTTAAAGTTTTTAATAAGTTATTGGGTGAGACTGTCCTGTAATATCAAATACTGTAACCTGCACTGACACTGTTCGTCTGATTTAACAACAAAGAAGAGTTTTCTGAAGTGGTTGGATGGTGTCATCAAGATTGGCTAATAAAGTAGTTCCCAAGTTCCAGATGCAAAGAGAGCTGTTGTATCATCCCCGAATAGATTATCCTCGCGTACAAAGGTGACCTGTTATTCATGACCAAAGTTCACCATAATCTCTCTAGGCAGTCATGACCGAGGTTGTCCTGGGGAGAGTGCGAAATTCCAGTCATACTCACTATGTCCTGGAAATTACACATCCTTAACGTAGCTAAAGCTGCCTCCCGAAAGTTGGGAATGCTGTACAGATGCCGTAGCTACTTCACTCCTGAGCAGTTGCTTCAAGTATATAAGGGATTCATTCGTCCTAACTTGGAGTACTGCTCTCATATCTGGGGTGGCTCTTCTTCTGTCCAACTGTAAGATAGGGTGGAATCAAAAGCATTTTGTCTTATAAACTCTCCTCCTTTAGTCGACAATGTGTTGTCTATGGTAGACCCTGCTGCCACATGGCATCACAAAAATTGTGACAAAGTCTCAGGTTGCTGATCTGCCTTTCTGCCTCATTTGCACACAATATCAGGGTCTCAATTGTTCCTCTTACTATGACAACACTACATACATAATTATATTGTTTCTCATTTCTGACCTTTTTTTAATTTTTTATTTCTTTATGGTTCTTTATAATTATTATTATTATTATTATTATTATTATTATTATTATTATTATTATTATTATTATTATTATTATTATTATTATTATTATTATTATTATTATTATTATTATTATTATTATTATTATTATTATTATTATAATTATTATTGTTATTATTACATTTTAGCCCCCGGGCCCCGATGTGGGTCAGTGACCTGTGCCCGGGTGGGCTAATTCCCGTAAAAAAAAATGTGACCGTCGTCACAATGAATTACAGTACCAGTAAACAGCGGTCATCAAGGTCCTCCTGGATGACGTAGTGATACTCTTAACCAACAGTCATATCGGAGGTTCTCCTAGATCAGTGATTCTCATCCTTTTTTTTTTTTAACTTGGACACAATTTGGAATTCCAGGGAAAATATTTGTTATACTTCACCTGCAACAATGTGAACACGAATTTTTATGTGTGTAGATTTATACTAGACTTAGAGAAGAAACTGGGATTAAAAAAGAGGATGTTCAGTTTCTAATGAGAAAACAAAATTGCACATGATAATACACAGGACAGTGATCAATTTTATACATAGACTATTTCCAGTACTGGCTCCATGACTATCCTAATGACCTAATCATTCTAATCTCAGGTGCTTTCTGCTGATGGATTTTCTTCTCAAGTATCCTTATTCGTGGTTCAGCATGGCTGATGTTAACGTTTAACTGCATTTATCATAATTGCAAATATCAAGTCACATTTAAACATTTACTCAGGAAAACCTACAAATAATTTTCTCTCAAAATTCTTTACAATCTAAACTAAATAAATACAATAAATTTAAATAATAGGATAATGTCAACTCCTTGCCCCATACATGTGCTATACCAATCCCATACCTGTCCTACACCTGTCCTCTACCTCACCTATACTCGTCCTATACCCGTCCTATACCTGTACTCTATCTGTCCAGTACCTGTCCCATAGGCTACATGTCCACACAAGTGGATATAACCAGGTCCTGTCGTGTTCCTGTTTACTCCTGAGCCACTAGGTTGCTGCCTGCATTTTCTTATCTACTGTTCAGTATTTCCAAAGAATAAAGAACTAGTTTTTTCAGCATTACAGAAATATTTGTTTTCAATATTAAATTGATGTCTATCACATTAAAAGTTTTGGTCACGCGGCTGCGCCTCAGATATCCAGCTGTAATTACTGCTTTACTGTTAATTTTTACCAACAAGGCTAGCGTAGATCATCCTGGATAAAATAACGTGTTAATCTTCTCCAACAGAGGTGGCCGAGGTCGTGGCCTTCTTGTTGTCGGACAAGAGCAGTTACATGGTCGGGGCGTGTGTGGAGGTCACCGGTGGCTATATGATGTGAGGCACCCACCTTCCACCTCAAGTTATACTGTAGGTTGGACCCCGTGGAACCCATGTTTGGATATACTGTACATGTATTCACAAATACCATATAAGACTACTTAAGGGACCATCCCTTAAGTAGTGTTCTGGTCGATACCCCCATATCTATATCATAATTTGGGTACAACATGTCTCTCAGAAATAACTGCTGCTGGGACCAGTTAAACAATTCATATGTATAAATTTGTAGGACAATTACAAGCCAATATACGGCTGAAGTAGTTGGTTAGTATGTGTGCCCACCCCGACAACTGTTGGATCATTTTCAAGTATATATATATATATATATATATATATATATATATATATATATATATATATATATATATATATATATATATATATATATATATATATATATATATATATATATATATATATATATATATACTCCTATGATTTAGATATGGAGGTATCGACCCGAACACTACTAAAGGGATCATCGTCTCCCAAATTCAGATGGTTCAGACTAGGGTTAAGAGAAGAGAAAGTTTTAAAAAGAGGTGGATGCGGAAGGATATTATTTCTTGAAGTGAAACGTGTGTACTATATGTCGGGACGTTTGCCTTGTAAAGATACCATCCGTGTGCCAGGAGAGCAGACTTCTTTTATTGCAGTTTTCTCATGAACTTATTTTTTAAGAATGTTAGACTGCAGCTGTTGTTATGTTCAGAAAAACAACTTTGTTATAGATACTTTAGTATTTTTATGTCTAACAAAACAAAGCTCATAACTTCCTACTGATCTTGTTAGTTTTGTCCTCCTCGGTCACAGTACTGAGATCCAAGTGGACTTTCACTCACTGCTAATACTCTGTCACTCATTGATTGCTAACTTCTGACACTCTTTTTTTTTTTTTTTTTTTTTTTTTTTTTAAGTTAACGTGGCCTCCAGCCTCCCCCAATAGCCACACCTTCGCCACCATTTATTTACCTTAATATTAAATATCCTAATACATAAAAGCTATCCTATCTGTGTTAAATTAGTTGAGCCGCAGATCTATGCGGCATTCAGTGACTGTAGCCTCATAGTCAATATCTGCAGCAGTTGTCGGAGTAGGGGCAGAAGCTCTCGTTCTCGTGAGGCAGAGCAAAGCCGACCGAAGGAGAGAGAAGGACAGTCGACATCTCATCCAGGCTGTAACATAACTTCTGGGCTGCTGCTTCTGTTCGGAGTTCAACTCCGCGAGTCTGGCGTAGAAACATCTTGCACTTGGGCCCATCCCACCAGAGGTTGTGAACACTAGAGGAGTGAAGCTGCCTTGATCAACATTTTGAATTCTCTCCCCATATGCCCTTCTCTTGTCGTTCTCGTTCCTCCTATGTGCAGCATCGAGAGCTAGGTTACGGTGACAAGTGGCCATGGGATCAAAAATCCTGATGTCGAAGAAAGCTCGCTGTCCCCGCGTCCAGAATCCTCGAGCACTGACGTCCACACGGGCTTCGTTAGATGTGTTTGAAGTCCTGTGTTGGAAGATCTCACCATCCAGTGGAAGGAGGGTCGGTTCTACCATGACGTCCCGGCAGATTTCCTTCAACATATTTGCTGTGAGATCCCTTACCTCGTCATGCCTCATGCATATGAAGCCCCCCTTCTTGCAGACCATGGCGTGATCGCCGTCATAGGAAGAGCCACACACGCATTGGGAGGGCAAACCATCTACTGGCCAACCGTACCTTAGAGCAATGGCATCTGTAAATTCTTGTTTGTTAAGGCTGAAACCATTTGCCCTTATCGGTAACGTAGTTAACCAGTTCGAGGCGCCCACCTCCTGCGCTACAGCTACTTTTTTTGTCAAATTTTCTGGAACCTGCAGCAATAGTTGCTGCAACATGTCATTTTGGCAGTGCTGCCGATCTGTTGTAATGGCCCTACGGATCTTATTTACTTCGCTGGTGTCCACTTCCCCTGTTGCATCCTGGGCTATTATGTGGTCAGTGAGGGCTGCCGTGAGCTTAAGTGAATTTTGATGTTCAGTGTCAGCAATCTCCTCTGGATTAGTTAGTCCCATCCCTCCCAGTCTTGGTGGAAGTGCAAGAAGTGTTATTTCTGCTGGGGTTAAGTCAGGGTGTTTCACTAGTTTGGGAATGAACTTGACACTGATAGCTTCTTCCAGAGGGTGGAGGAGGGGTCCGATCTCAGGGATAGTACACATCAGGTAGTTCCAGCGATGCTTGACTCCATGGGTGAATGCTGCAAAGGCCGCATGTGGCTCTGTGTTAGCAATCTCAGATAGAGCTTGGATTTCGCTAACCCACTCATTCACCTTTCCCGCTACGTACTCGGTCTTGAAGTCCGTAGTGCCAATTACTGCGCCTAGATGTCTTTGGCCGTCCTTAGTTATTTTGACTTCACTTCCGCCAAAAACCTCCAAAGCCCGTTCATAATGTTCTGGCTTCACGATGAGGAAGGACTTGCTAGCGTTTGGGTGGTACCCTATTTGTGGACCTCGCGATGTTACCAGGTCCCACCACTTTTTGATGCCCTCCACTTTTCCTGCTCCTGTAAGGTCATCAGCATATGCCACTTGTTTGACCCCAGTTGTTTCAAATTTTATTTCTTGTTGGAGCACTAATAGGCCAATTGCATACATTGCCATTGCAACGGGGTCCCCCTGTGTTGTTCCCTCGGTCGACTGTAGGATGGTATCACCTCGTAGAGCCTTGTTGTTTACTATATAGAGGTCTGAAGGATTCCTATACGAATTTTCAACATACATCGCAAAGCTTGGACACTTGATCTTGATGTTGTGCAGTGCAGCCTTGCGGTTAAGTATGTTGAATGCGTTTGAAGCATCCACCAGGGGAACGGCCTCACAATCACGCTGCTCAAATATCAATCTCATGGCGTGAATGGCCGCCTCCCCACCAGCCTGGTGGCCAGCACAGACTTGTAGGTTCCCTGCTGCTGCCCTGACATCGTCCTTTACCACCTCCATTATGCACTTTCCGATGATCCGCCTCAGCACTTCCCCCACCCCTATAGGTTTACATCCTGGTTTCTTTTCCAGAGGAATAAGGTGGCAGGCCGTCAGGGCCTGGAGGTGATGGCAGCAAGAGGATGCAAGCTTTCTTGCAAGGGCGGCAATGGCAGTGCAGAGATCGCTTGCTACAGGGCCAAACTTGTTTGTGCTGAGGATGACTCGCCAACTGTTTGCATCCAGACCTGAAGGGCCGGCTCCTCCTCGAGTCTTCAGTGCCTTTTTCCACACCATCTCTCCTGTTATTTTCTCGAACAGGACAGCATTTGGTGGGATATAGTCACCCTGGAACCTGATGCCTTCATCTTCGCTTGCAGGGGGATGTTTCTCTTTCAATAGTTTTAATGTCTCTCTGTTTATTGGCATCACCCCACCGGAGGATTCCTGTGTGAGAGATCTTACCGCGAGAGACACTTTTCCCACACGCATTTTGTTTCCAAATTTTCTTGCCACGTCATCGGTGTTTTGCTTTCCGTCACCCGTAGATTTTAGTCTCTCCTGCAGTGTTCTTGCTTCACATAGGAGATCATCTAGGGCCCCAGTCTGCCACATTGTCAATCTTCTCTTCATTGCTGCCACATTTTCTTTGTGCTTAGCCTTTGTGTGTGTCCTCTGACAAAATAGATGTGGTATTATTGCCAGTATTTGAAGAGCTCGGGGGGGCGAGGAAGCGGTCCTGAGTGTAATCAGTCATGAAGCAAGTCATCTCCCGAATCATTTCTTTGGTGGCCGCACACTTGGGTGGTTCAAATAAGTTAGCGGGCGACCACTTGACAATTTCTGAGTAGGTTTCTTTGACCCATACGCCTGCATTTTCCATCGACATGCCATACCACTGAGGCGGCTGTCTCTCATTCTCCTCGTGGACACCTGCTACTGAGGGAGCAGCATTTATTAGTACTACATTTTCGGGATGAGTAGACTCACTGCTATCATTTTGGATATCATCGGGTGGTTGGGTCCCGGCGATATCCACTGTGGCCGCCTGTGTCGGCTCCCTGCGACGTGGGTTCCGACACTGGTCTAGCTTCCTGCAATCCACACATGGTCGGTTGTTTCTCGCACAAAAACAATTTGTGCAGTTTTGGTTCGGGCTAGCACAGACGCAGCAAAGACTGTTGCCAGGCATAGTGACCAGCACCTTGGGCGACAGATACTTCCGCCTCCGACCTCTGCTATTGGGCCCATACGGACGAAGAAACTAGATCTTATGCGTATGGGACACAGAGGTGACGGCCTGGCCTGCGGTGACCGAGTAGTAGGGGCATACGCGCGCGTGTGGTTGTGTCGGGCACCCCCCATGTGGGCGATAATCCACACATGAGAATAATCCACTGGGAGCAAGAATTGTCACACCTAATACTTGTTTATGTAACTTTGGCAGAGATAGCCACCATTTCTATGGTCTCGCTGATGTAACATTAGTTATATATACTCACTTGGTCAGCCGACACTACATGAAGTGGCCGTTACTTGAGATGGGGAGGCGGGGGGGGGGGAGGGCGACCGAAAGCCCGAGGCACTTGGCCTCATAGGGGCGAGAGTCGCGATGCCACCCATGCTAAAGTAGGCATATCGACACACTGGCACTGACACTTGGCAACTCCAGCCACTCACCATTCAAACACTCATAGGCTTACTTGAAGATCGCCGGTGAACACGCGCAATATTTGCGTTTAATGTCGAAAGGAATGAGAAGAGCCATCGGCGATGATGCTCAAGGCGACATCCAACATTCATCGACACACTGTGAAATTCTCGCTCCCACAAACTGAGTATATCCCCACCAATAACACTTTAAATCAGGGAAGGCACCCCAACACACCCACGCCGCCCGGGCCTCCTACTACTACTTCTGACACTCTGCTACTCAACTGTTGCCAGCTGCTGATATTCTGTCACTTACTGGTTGCTAACTGCTGACACTCTATCACTCAACTGTTGCCAACTTCTGATACTCTATCACTTAATGGATGCTAACTGCTGATACATTGTCAGTCATTGGTTGTCAATTGCTGATACACTGTCACTCAACGGTTGCCAATTGCCGATACAATGTTACTCAATGGTTGAGTAATTTTCGTGTCAACAATCGAGACATCAACCTAACCTAACCTCACCAAACCAAATCTACTCTGTGCTTAGCTCTATAATTCCTCCGATGGTGACAGGGTGATCACGATGGATCAGAGCATCAATGGACGAGTTGTCGGTTCTGGGGAAACATATTCAACTCTCTCTGCCACGCTGTTAGAAGAGTACTATTATATCACTTTTAATTTAAAGTTGAAACCATCGTGAATCAGTC